GGAGTAAATAACCCACGTAGACAAGTCCTTAGACTTCCCTCACTTGGTTGCAGCAGTTCTTTGGGGTGGTGGCATTCTTACCCCTGGAAGAGGAAGAGGTTGAGATGGTTGTACTTCTTGGTGAGGAAGTTGCCCAGGATGCGTGTGGGGTAGCCGCAGCGGATCTGATACGCCGACAGAGCGAAGTAGATGCATTTCACAAAGTACCACAGCTGGGCCACGGTGTTCATGTTAAACATCCTGGAGGAGGTAGATCAATAACAGCGGTGGAGATGGAGCTGATGCCAATGTACACAAGAGGGGAATCGCGCTGGGGCTGATACTGCTGAATGTGTCCAGAGACTGAGATGGGAAAAGGTCTGGAAATGGAGAGCCCTATGAGGAACGGCGAAAGGGAGCTAAGTGTGCTTAGCTTGGAGAAGGGAAGATGGAGAGGTGATACGGGCATCTTCAAATATCTGAAGGGATTTTATGTAAAAGATCGGGTGCTTTAGTTGTGTCTTCCTGCATAGCAGGGGGTTCACTAGGTGATCTTTGTGATCCTTTCTGGGAATCTTACCTAGAAGCAGTTTGTTTTCTGCTGCTCCAAAGGCTCAGCCGTAAAGTGATGGATTCAAATTATAAGGTAAGAGATCCTAGCTAAGCATTTGGGAGAAAAACTTCCTAACTGGACTGTCTCAGAGGGTGGTGAACTTTCCTTCTTTGGAAGTCTTTAAGAGAGTTTGGAAGGTCATTTCTCAGGAGTACTTTAGTTATGTATTCCTGCATGGCAGGGGGTTGAACTACATGTCCCTTTGGGGTAGCTTCCAGCTTTATGATTCCCTTGCCCATAAGTGTAGCCGGAGTTAGCAAAGTGAAGTGAAGTCTTTTTGCGGCCCTAATCCATCCTCCCAACAAGGATAAATACCTTCTCCAGAAATCTCCCAAGAGGAGTGACTCCCTTTTTTAAAGAAGCTGCAGGCACACACATACACACACGCCCTGACCCAGCATTTAATATTATTTAAACACCTCCTTTTTTTAGAATCAAGGCTGAGATTTTATATTGGGGTTGCACAGTGTAAACGGGAGCGTTAACAGTAATCCTGATATGCAACACTTGTGCTGAACGTCAATGTGGTGAAACTGAATGGAAAACCAAACACGAATCTTGGCACAGTGTGCATCCGTGCAATGCAGCACCCCATTCCCATTTCTGCTTCCACAGCCTTGCATTCTGCGTCGGACAAAAAAATTAAACATGTCTAACTTTTTCCATAGGGGAGCAAGGGGACACCAGCTCAGAACTGGACTTCGGGACACTTTCTCTTTTTCATTGTTCTTGGGGTTTTTCTGGCAGTTTATAAAGACCCTGGGAGAGTCCTGGGGAAGGAAAAGCAGCCCCCAAAACAGCTGAAATTTGGGGTTGGGGATAGGAGGAAGGTGGAGTCCCGCTCACCTGTCCGTGACTGCAGGTAAAATGAAGAACATCCAGACATGGATGCCGAAGACCAAGAAGACCTGGAAGGAGAGCTTGCCCAAGACGCTCTTGCGCAGGTAGAGGGCCCGGTCGATGACCATGGTGGAGAACTGGATGAGCAGCATCACCAGAAAGGCCTGCGGGACTTGATCTTCCGAAAGCGAGGAGGTGATGTCGGCTGCGGCTGAGTGTTTCTGGGGAGAAAAATGGGGGCCGTGCAAGTTTCCTAAGGCTTCAGCCTTTATTAAGGAAGCAAAAATATTTAAACATCAAAAATGTCAAAGCCAAGCCTGTTGGCTTTCTAGCTTTAAATCAGCAGAGTAGCAGAAACGGTGCTTCTCTAAGAACTGAGACTGACTCAGAAACAATACAAGTAGCTTAGTTTAAATAAACGTTTACTAATGGCTTGATCTACGTAGAATTCAAAGATATAGCCATGTTAGTCTAGAATCAGTATATAGTGAGATCTTGTTGCACCTTTGAGACTCACTGAAAGAAAGAAGTTGGCAGCAGGAGCTTTCCTAGTCTAAAGTCTACTTCCAAATGCATCTGAGGAAGTAGACTTAAGTCTAGGAAAGCTCCTGCTGCCAACTTCTTTCTTTCAGTGAGTCTCAGAGGTGTTACAAGATCTCTGCATATTGAATCTACATGTGCATAGGTGTGACATCCTAAGCTAGCTAATGAATTGTTCGGGTAGAAAAAGAAATCTTTATCTCATCATCTTTCCAAAGAAAGTTGAGGGAGGAGGAACATGGGGGACCAGATTGCTGCAGGAGAATTTCTTGGTGTGTGAGAAAACTTCCTAAAAGGAAGTGACCTGAGTCCCATAGTTTGTTTACCAATTTACAAAGGTATTTATTGCCCTGTGATTCAGCAGGAACAAAATGGGACATTTGAATGAGGGGAGATAGCAGAGTTTGCATGCAGGAAAATCCTATCTATCTGAGGATCAGGGACAGAGAACGCTGAAACCTTCAACAGTAAGGAGACGGATTGGCAGCCCAGCAGGTGATGCACCCATTATCTGCATTAACTTTGCAAACAGCAAAGACAACCTGTTGCGTCCCAGCCCACATCTTACTTACCCCAAAAGCCCAGAAACCAAAGATGATGATGATGAAGTCCACCACGTCGGCCAGGAACATGAGGGCATAGACGTCTGTGGCAGCCCGGTATTTGCTGTGCAGAATGTCCCGGAAGAATTGCCGCACCGGCTGGAACACGCATCCTGCTCTGGAGGGAGAAGGAGAAGAAGGAGAAGGAGAAGGAGAAGGAAAAGGAGAGAAGGAGAAGGAGGAGGAGGAGAA